ATAGGTCCCTTCCTGACCCCTGCAAATACTTGTCCTCCAGGCTATGAAGAATGAGGCTTCCCCATGAGGTCTTCTTGTGAGGAGCAGAGGTGGCTTGTGCAGAGGCTTGTGCAGAGGTGGCTTGTGCTGCCATTGAGGTCTCTAAAGCAGCAAGTGGAAGTAAAGGTTTGGCCAGAGCTGTTTGGGTATCCAGGAAGGAGTCTGCTCTTTGCAAGCCTCAGTGAGAGTTGCTTCCAGCCATCTGGGAAGCAAATCAGTCACTGTGTGCAGCTGCAGGAGCTAGGCCGAGGGGAAATGCTAGGGACGGAGCCCAGGAGTCCTAACTCCCGACCCCAGCTCCAGCCACAGAATACCACTCCACTTTCAGAGCTGGGGACAGAACCCCGGGGTCCTGGCTCCCAGTCTCCTGATCTGACCAATATGCTGTACACTTCTCAGCTCAGAAGAGTAGCCAGGAGTCCTAGCTCCCAGCCTCTGCTCTAACCACAATGCCCCACTCTTCCAGAGCTGGAATTTGAACCTGTGTCCACTGCCCTGCTGCAACTACTAGGGGACACTGTTCATCTTGTTGCCTTTTCCCATACAAACTCAGGGGGCAGCTGTGCAGCCCAGAGCTAGGACAGAAGAGTAGTGAGGACAAGATGATAGTCAACTTGCTACCCTTGTCTTGAACACCCTGCTGCAACCCAAGTCTTCTCACCTTTCATACTATGGTGACCTGATCTGGGTTATGGACACAGTTGCTTTGGCTGCACAGACATGACTTAGATGGAGCCCCACAGTGTTCGCAGCCCTTATCCCCTCAAGGAAAGGCTGCCATGACCTATTGTTTCCAGTGTTATGGGCACTGCTGCTCTATGCCCTGAAGACCTGGAGTGGTGGTGGGGGTTTCCCACCTCTTCTCTGCTCAGGCTCCTCTGTGAGCTCCCAGAGGCAGAGTTAGCCTGGTGCTTCCCCAGTTGTCTGTAATAGAGGACCCTCAGGGGGCTGCTCTAACTTGGGCTCCAGTTCCCAATTCTCTGGTGAAGCAGAGGCTAGCCCTAGTGTAGTGCTACACCTGCTGCACAGGGGAAGGGGAGTGCAAAACCCTTATTACATCAGCTTTCCAGCAGCCAAGGAGCCGGGTGGGTTTTCAGGGGCACCACTTTAAAGCCTCTTTATGCTGCTTGGAGGACCCTTGGTGTATTTGAGAATCATGACAGCTCTGAGCTTTTGTTTCTTGACTAGGGAAAAATACTAGAGCAATTTTTCTGTTGCAAAGAACTCAGAAAGCCCATAGCAGAGTAGAGTGTTTTTCACACTATGGATTCTTATTGAAAAATTTTGGGTTTATCCTGTGAATCAGCTGTAGGTGTTTGCACACCTAATATTGCATAACACCCTGTAGCACCCTTAAAAGGATCTCATGGCACTCTGGTTGAGAATAACTGATCTAGCCTGACACAACACAGCACAGGCCACAGCAGCTTACCCTGTGTTTCCTGTATCCAGGACAGTGAACCAGCTAAAGCACATCTTTTGCAGGACCCCAGCATTGGTTTCCAGCTGGAATGCAATGGAGAGCCCATTGTGTCCCTGGCCTAAACTGTTACAATGGTTAATTATCCTGGCTTTTAACAATGGCACCTAATTATTAGGCGGAATTTCTAGAGCTTCAGCTTGGTTGTTGGAACTTGCTCTGTCTTCGTCCCCCAGATATAGAGACCCCTGCCCTGGTTACGTCTGGATAGATTGCATCACCTCTCCACCAGCTTTTGGATAATTACATGGATTGCACATCTCCAGCCTCTCTCTTTCTAAGGGAAGGAGGGGGGCTTCTGGGCCTCACATTGATCCTTTCTAAGTCAGCAACAACCTTATTGAATATTGGACCCCAGAACAGAAACTCACTAGAGGTTCATCTCCTACCAACGCCATAGAGTCCTGAGTAGGAGAGATGTCTTGGCTGCCTGAGGCTGAAAGCCAGGCTCTGACCCCTCCATGCTCCCTTCTGCCTAGCTGGAGTGCTACTGTGTCATCACAGCATCTGGACTGGAGCTAGCATCACAGTAGCTGATAGAGGACCAAGACCTTTTTGTGTTCCTTGTTGCTTGTGCATCGGCAGACCACGACTGTCCCACTGAGATTTGACCCCAAAAAGCAGGAAAATAATCCTCCAAGATAGCTTTCACTTGGATTTCTATTGAAATAATTTCCATACTGGGTAATGATTGAGAATGTGCATGCTGGAGCTGGGGCTCTTTGTCACGCTCTAGTGGCTGGATCACCTGTAGAAGTTTAGGGGCCCATTGACTCATGTACTTGCACAGCAGAAATGCTTGCTGGGGTCACACTCTGTCACAGGTGCTGTTGTAAGCTGTTCTTAGAGCAAGATCCTAGATCTTTTCCCCAGTACCAAGGGGCCCTAACAGAAGTAGGCTTCAGGTGATAGTCTTTGACTCCACATCATGCATCTGATGCCCCTGTACCCATGCCCCAGGCTGATGGGACAGCTCTGCTGGCCCATAATGGGAATAGCACAGAAGAAGCATTGAGCTGTTCTGATCCAGAGACCTTCCTTGCACCATTGAGGTTTTTGGGGGGAGGAACAGACTGTGTGGACTAAGAGAGCACGGACAGAACATGGACTTGGCCTTACCGGAATGTGAGACAAGGGTGGCATAGCCAGGGATGCCATTAACATCATAAGGCCTGGCTCGTCAGTGACCCTCCATATTGGTCGCTGACACCAGTGCAAAGTGGCCCTGATCTGAGTGGCTTCACACCCACCCTGTCCCTGGTTGGAGCTCCCAGGTTAAGGGAGCAGCCTGGGGCAAGGGGCTGTGGTCAGCAGAGAACTTGGTCTACCCTGCTTCCTTCCCAGTATTCTCCTCCTATGAGGCTCCCCTCATCCCTCTTGTCTCATCCCTTTCAGTCCTACAGGTCTGTCCTTCCCTTCTAAGCTTCCCTGAAGTCCTTGCCTTCCAAGCTCCACCCCTGGGGGAAAATTCAGTCTCCTAGCCCCACCCACTTATCTCTAAGCCCCACCCACAACCTGACCTTCTACCCGCTTCTTCGCCCTACTTTCCTGTCCCTTTCTCCCCAATTCTCTTCCCCTCAGGGTTGGAGGCTCCTCTAAGATAACAGCATCCATGTTATGTGCCATCAAAAAAAAAAATCAAAGTAATAAAATGTAATTTAATTCCTAAAGGAGGGCGAGGCAGTAAGTGGCAATTATGCTAACTGCTCTGCTATTTTTACTTTCTCTCTCTCTCTGCCAGGGAAATTGTTGCTGTGAGAAGTTGCAGCCTTTTCCATCAACTAGAAACCAAGGGGGCAGATTCTGCTCTCCCGTACCCCTGCCAGTCCAGGATTCCTATGCTGGATTGAGGGAGCCACACCAGGGTAAAACTGGTGTGAGCGAGTGCAGGATCAGACTGTGTGCACATGCGTGTGTGAGGGAGAGCAGGATTTGGCCATGCACATACATGTGTGCATGCATGAGACCAAGGCCATGAGACCATGCATGCATGTGTATGAATGAAAACAGGGTCAGACTGCACACACACACGTGTGTGTGTGTGTGTGTGTGTGTGTGAGAGAGAGAGAGAGAGAGAGAGAGAGAGAGAGAGAGAGCAGGATCAGACTATGTATGTGTGCATGTATGCCCAAAAGCAAAAGCAGACCACACATGCATGTATGTGTGTGAATGATAGCAAAGTCAGACTGCGTGAGTGCACACGTGCATGCATGTATGTGTGCACCTGCATGCTAAAGAGAGAAAACAGAACCAGATCATGTGTATATGTGTGTGTTTTACAGGTATAAGTTAGGACTGAAGTCTGCATATGTGTCTTGGAAGAAATGTGTGTGTGTGTATGTGTGTGTGAGGTAGGGTTCTGTGTTAGGAGCAGCGGTGTGAGTATGTTGTGATAAGCACATGGTGTGTTACATGCAGGGCCATTAGTTTCCAGTAGAGTGTCAGCCATGCATTCGGGTAGAAGGGCATGATATGGTGCACATAGGTAAGTGAATTTGTAGGTGTGTATGTGTGGATTAGGGGCACGTGTGCAGCGCGGATGTTTGGGGTGGGCGTGTGGCGTGTGGCGTGTGTGTGATGTCTTTGTTAGATGCGTTGGGGGGTGGGTGTGCCCTAAGACACGTCCAGTTTTTCTCCCCTTGGGCTTGCACAAGTGCCAGGGCTAGGACTGGGTTGTTAGTGCTGTGTCAGGATGCTGGCAATACTGCCCTGGCTCCAAGGCCTATGCTGAGCCTCAGAGTGCTGTGGGATGGGAGATGCTGTGCTGTGGAGGGGGATCCTGCCAGACACCGTGATCTACCATTTAACCCCTCCATGACCTGGCTCCCTGAGGAACCCTGGTTTTCACCTCACCCTCCAGCTTCCACAGGAGCTGGTGGAGCCAGGGCTGCTCTCAGCTCTGTTGAGACCCCTACTTCTGACCTCAGCCCCTCTGTCCCTCCTCCTCTCACCCCAGTTGCTATTCCAGTTCTCATTTCCCCATAGGCAGGTCTGCTGGTACCCCTTACTTCTGGGCTGTGTCCCACTCTAGCCCTGGCTCGCATACTGCTGGTGGTGCATCTACGTAGCACCATACAGTGCTGTGTAGTGACCCCTGAACTAGCTCTGGAGCACCTAGCCACCTTCTCATGGCATGCCTCTGGCCTGATTAACCCTCCTGAGGTACCTTAGCCTGGGCACAGTGCTGGGCTTCTGCAGCTGGACTGCTCTGGGTCTTCAGCCTCACTTGGGCATCCACCTGGCATGGTATTGTGCCATGTGGATCCCAGCCTACAGCTCTCTGTTAGCCCAACTCTGGGCTCCCTCTCAGCTCTGACAGTGCCCCTCATCTCCAACCTACAGTCCCTCATTGTTCTGGCATTAGTTCTACAACAGGTCTGCTAGTGCCCCTCACTCCCAACTTGCAGGCCTCATTGACATCCGCCCATACAGCTCTGCCAGTGTCCACCTTGCCTGACCCATGCCCCACCATCCATCTCAGCCCCAGGGACACTCCTGGAGCCTTCCTCTGCTGCATGGAACTGTTCTGCGTCCCCTGCCACACGTGCACTGGGGTGTGAGCATGCCCTCCAGGGAGGTGACGTACTGTGAAGAATGTGCCAGTGAGGTGAGACATTGCAAACCCATGGGTCCTTCCCTGGGCAGGGGTGGGATGGGATGGGAGGGGGACATGACACCTGCCCTGCTCTTTTCGTGCTGAGTGCTTCCTGCGGGGGAGAAGTCTCCCAGGAAAAACCGCTTTAGGACCAAAAAAAGCCTGTGCAAAATGATTTAACAACAATCAAAAAGAACCTGTTGCCATAACAACCTGATGGGTCCCTTATGCTCACGCAGTGCCAGCTCCCTGTGAGATCACATGCTGCTGCCTGGGCGGTGCCACTGGAGACGGCAAGGTGCCAGCCCCAGGAAGCCCCACTGGATGGCTCTGGGCCTGATATAACCCTTGCTCTGGTCCCTTCAGAGCTGCTAAGCTGGCTTGTCAGCTGAGGAGAATGGCTAGATTTGCACAGGTGCGAATGAGCCCAGCAGCAGCAATGAGAGTCCAGCCCTGGGACAGGCTGGAGCTGCCCAGCTGCTCCCATGGCACTGGGGAGGGAGGGCTGGTGGGCCCCAGCAATGCCTTTCCTCTGGAATTCTGGGAAATCAGAAGCACTTGGAAGGATGAGTCTGTGCCACTGCCCATGCACACCTGGCGGAGAAAGTTGTAGCCTACGCAAGCTCACTTCTCTCTGAACCAGTTAGACTCTAGGGTGCTTCCCTGCCTTTTGCCTTGCAGAGGTGACCACACCCAAGGTACAAGCCTGTATGAGTGTGTTAGCAACAGTCCCCCCCTACCCTGCTTGGCTAGCTGGGGTGGATCAGGCTGGCTGTGCCCACATACCACTTCACTGGCTTAAAAGAGCAGCAGGTCCCTATTTAAGTCCACCTGTAGCACCTGACTGATGCTGGTTAGTGGGGAAGCTTGTGACTGTTGCCCCAGGTCTCCTGGTTGTGGGCTTCCTTGCTTTGTCTGCTGGACTCCCCATGCCCTGGTGTGTTGCAGAGCTTGTAGTTTGTGTCTAGTTATCCCTATGCACCTTCCCTTCCATACAGATGTGTTGCTTTGCTGTTGTGCTGCAGCCCTAGTTGTGCTCCTAGGCTTCCTGTGTGCTAGGGGCTGTGCAAACAGCAGTAAGAAAAGACCTCACAATAATGCATTCAAGAGCATTGGAGGCTCCAATTCATTGGTGGTGGCACCAGCCACGTGAGTGCTTCACATAGGATCAGAGCAGAACTAATCCAGGGAAATCCCCACCCTGTGGGACTTCAACATGGGCAGTGTGTGAGAACGTGCTCGTGAGGCAGAGGAGCGTATGGGCCATAAGAACCGGAGACCTTCAGAAAATCATGGCCTTTCTCTGGGGTTTGTAGAACCAGCCTGAGATTGCAAGGCCTTTTTTTGCTGTAACCGAGAATGAGGCTCCCTTTCAGAGTGGGTCAACAAAAGAGCCCTTCTGGCTGATGAGAAGCTCCATCCTGGCATCGGAAGATGCTTCCTGTCTGCCATCGCCCCTGGAGATCAGGCATTTCAGGTAGGGACCAAGTATGTTTGGTATAATTGGTGGGTTTGGGACAGGGCCCTGACCCTTCTCTTGCTAAGACTCTGTTTTCAGTTGCTTGTAACTTCATCCTATTTAAATCCATTTAACTTTTTGTCCTGGGAGCCCCAACATAGTCCAGCTCTCGCAGATAGCAAGGAGAGCAGAAGGGGCGGTGGCTTTTTTTTTTATGATTTCTTTTTTTAGATCATCTCTTTTCTGTGACTGGTTTTCCTGCTTTGGACTGGGCCCTTGGAAGTCACCCAGAAAAGTTTGGAACCTCTATAAAATCTCAGTTTGCACATTCGCAGTAGAAGCTCAGACATTTGGAAGTGAATTCCCTGAAGCAAGGTGTAAGGTGTCAGATTTGTGCCAAAGGCTGCCCCAGCTGTATGTGGGTTCCTAGTCATCCAGGCTGGGGAATCCAAGAAGGGTGGATGTGATGCTGCCCATGTGATTCACTTTTGTGCCATGGGCTTTAGAAACTGGTGTCCTGTAACCACACTAGCTCAATTAAGCCCTTGTGTGTTTTGACCTTTGACCTTAGAAGTCCCTGGAGATCCCATCCCACTGGGCAGACTCCCACCAGCCTCTGAGCAGCCCAATGCAGTGCTGGGGTAGGGAGTATTTTGCTAGGGTTTGGAAACCTCTCTCTTCTGTGCTGAAACTAATACCACTATTGCAGCCCAGGCATGTGGGAAAGGAGCTGCTTGATTTGAATGCAAAGCGGGACAAGAAGTGGGGGACACTGAGGGGATGGGAGTAGACCATGAGAAAGAACTTAGGGATCACACGGTGGGGGTCGCTGGGAATGGGGTGGAGGGAGAGGCTGGGACTGGGAAGCAGTGATGTCAGCACAACAGAGCTGGAGGGGGAAGACTGAGCTGATGAGCATGGGCACTGGCTGGGAACCTGAGGCACTGAAATTGGACTAGGTAGGCATCAGTGCCAGGCTACAGGCTGGAATCCCTGGGGCTTTTTTACATCCTGGTCTGGTTTTTTTAAAATTTTATTTTAAAACCTCTGGTTGCTGCTCTGAGTAAGGTCACATAGCAGAGGCAGGGAAAGGACCCAGGCGTCCTGAATCCCAGCCCAGCATTCCACCCACTAGACCGCACGGTGGAAAGCGCTTTTGCTTTATTTTCCGTAACGGATCTGGGTGAAAGGGAGGCGGATTTGGATTGCTGGATGCCTTGCTTGGGTAAATATTTTGCTGTAACCACAGCTTCTGGAACCCAGCCATTTAAAGCAGTTGGCTCACCTAGAAATCCCTGAGCCTGAGCCAGCTCAGCCCTGCTGCTCACGTCACCCAGCATCCTCCTTATCAGAGCCAGGCTAAAGGTTTGTAATGACACCTGCCAGTGACGAGCTGGGTTTCCCAGCCAACCAGAGCCATCTATCTAAAGGACTCCTAGAACCAGCCAGTCACCTATTACTGTAGGATCTGGATGCTGCGCAGTCTGTAATCCATTTGTCCTCACACTATTCCTGTGAGGCAGGTAGTGCTATAATCCCTACTATGCAGTTGGGCACTGGAGACTTTTTTTCGCAGAGACCAAGTGACCCGCCCAAGGTTACACAGGGAGCCAGTGGCAGAGGTACAATAGGGCCACAAACTGTCGTGGGTATTGGTTTATCCAGTGCTCCACTGACATGCCCTGTCTGCATTAGGATGATACTGTGTGGTACTTAGTTGGCATGGGGTAAAACCAACCTTTTTCTGTTGGAGAAAACAAGGCCAAAGCTGAACTCTTATGGAAAAGAACATAAGACTGATGGGGTTGACAGGTAAGTCGGGGAAAATAATTAGATCCCTTTTTGTGTCTAATATCAGTTTGAAATAAGTGTCAGAGACTTGTGTTATGTAGCACAGCGTTGGTATGATGAGAGGTGCTGCTGGTCGTTCTCAAAAGCAGGCTGGGTGCTGGATTTTATCTTCCACCAAACAAAATCAGATTTGGTTGCAGAACAATTTGATTTTTTTCACTGAAAAATCAGAAAATTATCTGCCTCCTACCCCCAAGAACTCAAAACTGTCAATATTTTGCAAGTGAAGAAGAAAATATTGATGAAAATGGGACCTTTTATAAGCAAATTGGCATTTTGTCCAATAAATGTGGAAACGGAGTCCTAACCTCTTGGCTGGTGTCTGTTAGAGAAGTTAATGCAGCCATATTAGTTCATACCAGCTAAGGGACCCAAGCCATAGATTTTTGGATTGAGCGCTTTGGAAAGAACATAGGCACAGCTGGCAAACCCTGCTGAGAGTGTCTGAAGGCTGACCTTTTGCCTATAAACTGCAGGCCTTCGGCACAGGAACTTTCTCTCTGCTCTGTTCATGCAGCACCTAGCACTCTGGTATCTTGGGCCAGCACTGGGCTTCCCAGATGATACATCCATGAAAGGTGTAAAGGTGCGTGTGGATTCATGAGCCAAAAGCACCTGTTCCTTTTATCTAGTCTGACCTGCATCACAATGGCTGGAGGAACTCGCCCAGTGCTTCTCTGCAGCAGAGAGAATTATTCTTCTCTGCCACATAAGTGATGCTCACAAGTCAAGTAACTTGAGCAGATCTTGTAAAACAGCCTTCCCATCTCACTTGAAAGACTTCAGATGAAAGGATCTTAAATAACTGCAAATCCCATCGGTGGCTCTTATCTAGATCCATGTGAGGTAATCAAAGTTTTAACAGCAAAGTTGGAGTACATCTGCTTCATGTGGCACGAGTCGTTCCTAACTACCGAGTTGTGTGGGCTGGCGAAAACTTCCAAAAGAAACGTTTTCCCATCAGGAAATGGGCTTTGGCCAAAACTATTTCTAGATTTCTTTTCCCATGGAAAGGGTTTTGATTTGGGTGGAACTTTCCGACAGGACAATCGAAAAGAGAACTATAGTTTTGTGGGGGTCGACATTGTTCCCTGTGCCTGCCAGAGCCATCATGATGCAGCATGACAGTTGTAGTTTGAACCCCATTGTGCCTTCATATTCCCTTATAGGTCCTGCCATCTGCTTGGACTACATCTCCCATGACACCTCCCATGGATGAGTTCCCATATTACATTATGGACATCCTAGACCCAAATGAAACAAAGATATTTCTTAACCATATTCTTTTTCTTACCATTTTATTCTGAAATGGATTCTAATATTGTCACTTCTTGTTCTGATTTGGGGGACAAAAGCAAACGGGAATGTCACATGGCCTACAGGACATACAGTCTCTCTCTGATCAGGTCTACTAGGTATTTATCTGGTCTTTCTGATCATTTAAGGGTTTTTTTTTTACCCTCTAGACCTTTGTGGTGGGAGTATATTATCCCCATTTTACTGATGGGGAACTGAGGCCCAAGGAAGATTAAGTAATTTATCTAAGGTCAGCCACAGAGTCAGTGGTAAAGCATAAAAGAGAAGCTGCTAGATTTCCTGTGTCCCACTCCTAGTTCTGTCTGCCAGCCCCACTTCCTCCCAGCCTTCCCCTTTAAGATGCAGCATCTTTCGATTTATTGGGCTGCTCTTGGAAAAGAGTGTTCTAATGAGGTATGTGCTACTCAGAAAATTCAAAGCCAACATAAACACACACACCTCCTGAAAGACAATGCCTGCTTTCATAGGCACATACAACCAGGGCACTCAGGTACACACCACACACCCAAATAACCCGTTGCACCCACTCTTGTGACAAATGAACTCTCAGCCACATGCACGTGTGTGCACACATGCATGCAGGCCGAGGTATGTGCAAAAAGCCAATGCGCATCTATCTCAGTGCTCCCCAGGATTAAAAGAGATTTGCCTTTGCATGTATGCTTCACAATGTGAACACCGCATGCACGTGAAACCAAAGTGAGTTGCCTATTGGGATGGCACCTCCATCTAGTTTGTCACCCACAAATCTTGGAGGGATTTAGCAAGAGCAAGTGGGTGCTACAGGTAGGTAAACTGAGGCACAGGAAAGCTAAGCAACTTGCTTTAAGACTACTGGTAGGACCAAGACTAGAACTTAAGTTTGCTGGAACCCACTCAGCACCGTGTCTAGTGCCTGCTTGACCTACTGGGCAGCACTGCCTCCTACCTATGCACCCACATAAACATTCTGCAAGCAGGCACTAATCCCAATGCAATCAAATTTCCCAGAGGGGAGGGGGTCCTCTCCTGAGCTGGGCAATTAAAGAGTTAAACACGGATGGTTTTGTTTGAAACCACCCTAATCGGCTCCCAGTGAGGGCTCATTAAAGAGGCCTTTGCCCCCTGCCCAGAGGATTAATAATTCAGACCGTGGCTCCAGTGAGCTGGTAGGAGGGCAGCGCTCTCTCCCTCCCTGCCTCCTCCTCCTGTCTCTGCCTCTCCCCTCCCTACCTGCACGACTCACTTCTGCAGCAGGGATGGAACTGCCTAACTCTGCTGGGTGACAGGGGAGCGGGCACATTTGAGCAGAGCAGCGGGAGACTCCTTTGTGGGGCTCAAACAGGAGCCATCTGGGCTGGAGCAGGGGGCTCCGGGGGACTGAGCAGCACAGTTCTCTCTTCCTGGTGAGTTCAGAGGAGAGAGGGAACGGGAGAGCTCCAGAGAAGGAGGACCTGGACTTGAAAGCTGGTTTCGGGAGCTGAGAGAGAAGAGACAGAGACAGAGCCCACCAGCACGATGGACCCCAAGGATCGCAAGAAGATCCAGTTTTCAGTCCCTGCACCCCCCAGCCAGCTGGACCCACGGGCAGTGGAGATGGTAAGTGGGGCATATCAACAGGTTCAGTTGTGTTTGTGGGTCTGGGGCAGAGTGGAGGGCGAGGGGTACAGTAAAGAAGGAATACTGCCTTCTAGGACAGGTGCTGGCACTGGTATATGACCCTAGCACACATGCACGCGCGCGCACACACACACACACACACACACACACACACACACACATCTCTATATACACAGCACATTTACCTGACACACTTGTGTACCACAACACACATTTACTTAGGCACACAGCACACATGCACTTAGGCCACACATATGGCATATATTTATACAAATATAACACATACATGAATGTAACACATCATGCACACTCACAGGTGTGACACCTGAGTATGAATGCCATTCCTGCCCCAGTTCTCTCAAACTCCCTGATGCCGTTACACACACACACACACGCGTGCATGTGCGCACACGCACACACACACACACACACACACACTGAAGGCACTTGTATGCACAGGCTCACAAAATCATCCAAACTATCACAGTTGCTAGGCTGTGCATGCAAATCTGGGGTGAACTCACATGTGTGCAAGATACTGTGCACTTGCACACTTGAACCTGAGCTGCTTGCCAAAAGTGGCAGTGTGCAGATGCCCACCTATTCTCGCACAGGGTTAACTCAATTTGCAAAAGTTGCAGGCATCAGTTGCACAAAACTCTGTGTGTTTGTCAAGCCCTCCTGAGTCTCTGACAAGCCAACCAGACTGCTGGGGAGGGGAGGAGAGGAGTGAAGATCTAGGTCCTGTGAACTCCCCCAAGCCTATCTGGGGAAGAGACAACATGACAGGTCTCAGTTCTGTTTTGCTGTGGCCTCCTGACAGAGCCATACAGTTGGTGGCTTTGTAGCTCCCATGTGAGTAAGTGGGGTGGGCAATGAGAGGGTGCAGGGAGAGAGAACGGTTAGTAAATGCTGGCTGCAACTTCAGAAAGGAGCTGGTTCTGCCAGACCAATTTGTCCTCATGCATTGTGAGTGTAACCCATCGATGTCCCATTTACTGCTCTCAAAACCTCCCTTGGCAGCACATAGTCATCTAAAAGGAGATCCTGAGTGTCATGTGACCTCAGGGTCATAGGTCAAATGCAAGACCTTGTTTCAGTGCTAGGGAAATTTCCTTCCTCAAGTTGCTGTCCTGTGGCTGATCTCTGGGCACTGAGTGCGAAGGTTTCTGTCTAATGCCCCTGGACCTGTCTCCATGTGGCAAATGTCACCAGTAGCATCATCAGCCTCTTATTTTGCAGAGGCCAACAGGCCATGAAGGCTGATACCCAGGGGGAGGACAGGTATTTCTGAAGAGAAACCTGACCTCAGTTTTTCCAACCTGGGCAATAAATGAGGGTGCCTGAGTTCCTGGGTCTCTGAGCTGAGGTACCTTAAAGGGATGTTCAGAGAGTGCTGAGTTCCTGTGTGTCAAAGCAGCTGTGTCCTCTGGAAAAAGATAGGCCCTTTTAATTAATTTCATCCTTAGATATGAATTTCACTCCCATCACTTTCAGGCGTTATTTTGACTTTCAGGTGGTGCTGTTAGCTCTTCAGTACCGATAGGGCTTGAGGCCCAGAGAGGCTAAGTGACTTGCCCGGGGTCACATAGGAAGTTGGTAGCAGAACAGAGAACCCAGGCTTCTAGCCTGGTACCCTCACCAGTGGTCTAGGGACCTCCTCTCCCTATTTCAAGCTGCAAAATGCAGCTGCTACTGATTGGTGACTGCTATTGAAAGTTTGGGCCTGATTGGTGCCCAGCAGAACACCCCTGGGACAGGGTCTTTCCTGGCAAATGTGAGAGCCTTGGAGCAACAAGGTTGAAAGAAAGCAAAAGGGAAAAGGACAGGAGTTTCCCCCAGCTTGAGCCATCTGGCCAGCCTGAAGCTTTCACAGCCCATGAGTCAGACCCTTGGAAATCACGAGGCTGGCACAAAAGATCATGAAATTGTAACAGATCAATGAACGGAGAGATCCTTTCACTCACCCACCAAGCTCTGAGCCCTCGGGGTTCACGTGAGTCATGTTTTCAATCTTTCCTCAGGAATTGCAATGGCTCGCAATGCACTAACTCATTTTAAATGAACTCGGGGAGTCCGGCAATTCCAGGGCCATGAGAATTCTCAACAGCACGAGGTCTGGGATGAGGTCGCAGTGTGGCAATCTTCACCAGGCTCCTAGCAGATAATATGGCAACTCCAGAGTTGCATGGCAGGGAGAGAAAGCTACTCCTGTCCTTTTGCCGTTGCTGTTGTATGGCTTGTAGCCTGTACAGGGTGTAGGTGCAAAAGAGGGCAGCAGTGATGTACTGGACATTGTAAGGGTTTGGTATGAGCCCTTGGGCACTGTCAGGCAGTGGAAGGCAAGTCCCTTGGGTTTGAGTGGGGCCAGCAGAGGACAGGAGAGAGCATGTGTTGGGGATGGAGTAGATGAGGGCAGCAGGATTTTACTCTGAGATATTACTTATGTTGCTGTAGTGCCTGCAAGCCTAGTCCTGGCATGGTGACTCTCACAGTGATAGGAGCTGTACAGACATGGAACACAAAGATGATCCCAGCCCCAAAGTGCTAACAGTCTGAGATGAGAGACCTCGGGAGGCTGCTGGCAAATGGGGCACCACAAAGAAACACAGACCTGGTTTTGGTCATTGTGGTGGGTTCTTAGTACACACTTTAATGACCTGAGTCTTTTATGGGCATCACAGCAAAGAATGCCATGTGAGCTCTAGGCCTAGCCTTCTGGCTGGGCATCTAATGCCCCATCCTGTGATGATGGTCATTGACTGATGCTTCTGGGTATCACAACAGTGGCTCTGATGGGGGAGGTGAAGGAAGGAGACACCCAGCTAGACCACAATGATGATGGCTTCAGTGCCAGAAGAAAGCTGGAGGCAAAGATTAATCTCCTGGCTTCCCTATGCTGCCCTCTCCTCTCCTCTCATGGGGCAACAAGGTGACACTGAAGACTTCCTTCCTTCCTTTCTGTTTAGATCCGACGACGGAGGCCCACGCCGGCCATGCTCTTCCAGCTGTCGGAGCATTCATCCCCAGGTGAGGCCTGTTCTGCTAGGTGAGGGGATAAAAAGGGAGCTTTGACCTCAGGCCCAGCCCCCTCACCAGCAAGGGGCATGTCAGGGAGGGTGAGGAGGGCAGGCAGGGGTTAGTTTCTATGCAAATGGGAAGAAGTGGCTCCTGGGGCCGTGGAGCTGGGAATGCCTTGCTAGAGGGGAGGAAAGGATGGGGTAGAAAACCAACCCTCCTGCCAACTCAGGGGAGGTGAGGGGAGGACCTATGGCATTGGGAGAACCTCTCACACCCATTGTTCACTCACTGGGGACCAACAGGGAGTGTGTGTGTGTTGGGGTTGACACCTTCCCTACTAAAAGAGGGACTGGAGTCCGTGTGGTCAGGTTTGAAAAATGGAAAGGTTGCATTAGAAACCTAAAATGATCGTATTTAATGGCAAATTACCATGCATATTTAAAAATATGCAAATGAAAATGCTCTTTCTATTCCCTACAATCTTATTGCTACAAACTGTACCGCAGGTGGGTGGTCTCATTCCCTATTCCCCCCACTTCCCTCCCCCAGGCCCAGTAGCCATTCAGTGGAGTTCCATGTCATGATCACTATCTTTCCTGGTGACTTGACCTCCTCCAAGACAAGGTCACATGTGTGTGATACCTGCAAGTACCATGTGTGGGAGGGTCAGCACGCAGACAAGCTGAGGTCATATAGATGCTGAAAATGGATGAGTTAAGAATATATTTCCAGTGCAAAGTCTGTCCCTAAGGGTCCTGGGTTTTGGCCTTTGTTGTAAAAGGGTCAAACGGATGCAGTAGTTACTGTAAGTTTGTTACGATTGGGTAGTGGGAGGTCTTCCCCCAGTAGAGTACCACAGGAACGCTTTCTCCTAGAGCCCAGGCACAGAGCCCATAGCCTCTGAGAGATACCATGGGGCAGCTTTGGGCTGTTATAGCTTTGGGCAGTTCCATCATGGTGCTGGACTGGTGACTCAGAGTCCCCTGGGCACCCTGCCTCTTGATCTTGATCTCAGCTGGGGTTGGGATTGGGGGCACTTCCCATCTGGTGGGTAGAGCTCTCTGCTCATAGGGTGGGGGAATAAGGGAAGATTCAACCAGGGCCTGGTGCTTTGATCTACTTGGGTTTCACCTTCCATCCTTACTAGAGATGGATCTGGGGCCCCTCCCTACCCAGCATCGAGCATCCCTGCTGCTTGTCCTAAGATTGTGTTTTCTTTGTCTTTAACTCTTCTCCTGTTTTTTGCCTTTTTTGTTTCTCCTACAGAAGAGGAGTCTTCCCCATACCAGGTGAGTGACAGGTGGGAAGGAGGGGGGGACCTCCACGAGGAAGGGTAGGGGAGAGAAACAGACAGGGACAGGGGGAGAAAGCTATGAAGATGCAGTAAAACTCAGGAAGTCCCTTCTACTGGAGTCACGTGAAAGGGTATGCTGGTGATGATGCTGAAGTGTCTTTCTACTAGGTAAGCTGGGTGGGGGGGCAGGCATTTAGTTTGGGGCTGGCACAGGCAGGACCTCAGAGGAGTGAACCATCTCCAGAGAGATTCACTCTGACCCCCCTGTGGAAAAATCACCCCTGTCACTGCACTGGCACTGCCTTTTACCACCGCAGCAGCTGCAAGATTTGGGTAGGAAGCAGTGTGGGTAGTGGCAAATGATTCATTGCAGGGGCCTGTGGTAAAGTTGGGTGACTCTAGGACAGGATTAACAGTGGGAGGGTTGTGGATTGGGACTGAGGGGTATTGGGAGAACAGTGTGTAGGGTGCCCAGGGCTGGAAGAGAAAGGGGTAGGGATTAACAAAACCCTGTTTGAGGAGCCCAGAGCTGAATTAATGAGGGAGGGGCTCTGGATGAGAAATGAGGGTCCTGAGCAGAGCAGCAAAGGTCACTTGCACTGTGTGTGGACAGCTACTGCTTTTGGTTTCTACTAATCATCACCAAATCCATTCAGAATTTACTAAGGGGGGTGGGTGAGGGAGTACAGGGGAATGTCAGCCCATTGATTTATGGGCTTGTGCCGCCTTTTTGCCCTTGTAAATCCGGCATAGCAGGGCTAGATTCCAAGGGGCAAAGTTATCTTGGAAGTTAACAAACACTTCTGGCTGTCGCAAGGGCCAGATCTATTGCTGTGTCACCCTGATCTGGCGAGAGCTTATCTCCGCTCGCATTTTCCATGACTTCTCCTTGATCTTGAGTCCAATTAAATTCCTCACTGCACGTGGCAAGAGGCAGTGCCACAGTGGAGCAGGGAGACATGAATAAAAGCCGGAAGTCAGGGACTTGGGAACCGGTTGGTGTTTTGGCTGCTCTTCAACCCTGCCTTGTAAGGCAGAGATCCCACATGTTGTGACTCTATCAGATCCACGGCTTATCTCATAATCGCGGCATAGTTTTGCTACTGTGCAATAAATTAAAATAAAATAAGCCCCTTGCTGGATAGCACAATATAGAATCGCTTGTCTTCATGAAGGCCAGGTCACATGGAGACCCTGTTTATGGTCAGTGAGGACCCTAACCTGTTACCAGCTAATGGGTGTTCTGCAGCTTATGTGAAATGAACGTGCTGTGTCTCAGCACAGTTGCAGGTATCCACAATTGGTTCTGATTGGCCTGGGTGCCAACAGATGTTCCACAACCAGCTCCCAGATGCTGTCTGTGCACCCTTGGTAGGGTCCAACCCCCACCTTGGAGTTTGGGTTTATTAACACAGAATTAGCCATATGTTCTCGGGGCACCTCCTCCACTAATTGAAAGCCCACACACTAGATCCTCTGTCCCCAGAAAGCCACTCCCATTTCCCTTCACCTGCCTCAGTGCCTTTCAGGCCCCAGGGAAGGAGGCCCAGGGTTAGGGTTAGGGTTGATGGACATTGGCAGCACAGTCGGTGGGTGGAACCCGCACTGCCTCTGAATTTCCCATTTCCATTGGTCTAAGCCTATCAGTCTGGATCTTAGCACCAACCTTAAGTCGATCTCTAGCACTTTGTATACAACTTGACTAGCTGATGGTGCCCTGGGCTTTGCAAGAGCTGTTTGCAGAGGTGTGCTGACATCTATACCCCTGGCTTTGGATTCCCTGCATTTTGCTTCTGTCACCCCCAGTTTCTTCCCATCTCAGTATGGGCATCTGCTTAACAACCAGCATCAGAAAAGGTGGCCTTGTCTTCATCAACAGGACACTGGGAGGTTCCCACCACCAGTCCAACTTGTATCATGGGAGGGATGGGCCACGTTGGCTGAGTGGTTGCTTGACTTAATTTCCCTGCCCTGATCTTGCCGCTTCCTGCATGCCCAAGGCAAACCTCCTGATCACCCTTCTCTTCTCCTCTCCTCTCCAGAGAGCCATGGGTGAGGGCCACCTGCACAAAACGAAGAGATCCAACCCATGCACCTACACCCCTCCGTCTCTGAAAGGTACGGTCCTGCCCATCCAACTAACCCTCCTGACAAAATTCACCCCAGTGCCAAGAGCCCAGCCCAGGTCTTCTGTGGATCTCAAACGGGCTGGTTTTCTAGGTCTGTGCATGGAGTACTCCCTCCCGCTCCTGCCTTGAGCCATATGCTCTGTGGACTGCTTCAGCCCTGCATTTCTCCTGAGGATGCTTAGCTTTCTTTATGGTCTGGCACAAGGTGCCTTTTACCCTCGCTCACTTGTCTCCATGCTAGCAGTGCAGCTCGTGGCTACAGTGAATGGGGAATTCTTCAGCGACACCGAACCTCTCCGCAGGAACGTTCCTAACAATTCAGATGAGGATGGAATTTCTGGTAACAATGAGTGAGGCTGAATTGGGTCTTTCTCTCTCTCTCTCTCTCTCTCTCTCATTTTGCAAAGGTTTAATTTTTCCCTGATACAGAACAGGAATCATTTTGAAATTCAAAAATATCCACAGCGCAGAAAAACTCTTCTTCTTCCCCCAGCCCTTCCATCAGGAAAGGAACAGAGAGACCTAGTCAGTTTCACTTCCTGCTTCTGATCAGTTTCATGTTCCCTCCCTGGGTTTGGGGTTTCTAGGATTTCAGTGCCCAAACCCCAGGAGTGCCAAACCCCATGACTATAAATGTGGGGTTTTGCGCTGCTGCTGCAGAGCTGGGCCAGCAGGGGGAGATGATGCACTGTTTTGTTGTGTTGTTTTTTTTAATTCTGTACCCCTAAAATAGTCACTGTGTTTTATTCTTAAATGGCTCTGAGCTGGGAGAGGACCATTGTGCAGGGCTTTGGGGAAGTGCCTTATGGAGGTTAAATAATTCCAGCAGCATCTCTCTAGGTGA